ATCACCGGTTGAAAACCACTGCTCTAAGTTATGACTGAGAAATCAGTATAGAGGGAGTCAGCTGTGGTAGGAGGGTGTATCACACTCATTTGCATACAACAGTGCAGCAATATCATGTGGAAGAACATCATTTAAGGTGGGAGTTTTTTCAAGGCTGGTTGTGTGTGAAAGGTTCACGTATAGAGGGCAGCACTGAATCAGGAAAGCTATATGTGGTAAGAGGTAAGTATCTATCTGAAAAACATTTTAAGTGTTGGAAATTGTTAACTTTGGATTTTCATTGTTATACTCTTGTTAATTCAAACTTTCTAATTTTATTTGAATATTCATTGTTTTTATTTTTTTTTGGATTTTCACTTTGTTAACTTCAAGTTTTTTATTCAGGTATTCATTGTATTAACTCAGACTTCTTTTATTTTGATCTTAATGAATATTATTTTAAACTTTTCCTTCTATCATTTTGTTTGATGACTGTTGTTAGTTTTCTATTAATCAGAACATTATTTATAGCATATTTTGTTTGGATGGTGTTGTTGAATAACCTTCAAAGTGTCTTTTTTGAAGTATGAGATATTTGTGTAAAAAAATAAAATGAATTAATACCCTTTAAGTCTCGTAGATTAAACATTACCTATTTGTTCATAGAAGTTTTGAAATGTTCATATTGTTCTGACTATTGGTTACCTAAAGTTTGTTTATTGGAGCTTCCTGTAGGGGATTAGCAATGATCCTTGTGTTTTTAATAAATAAACCATTCATTTTTTTTATAATTTCATTACATCTTGTTATTTATAAAGGTTTGATGTTTTTTCAGTAGTTTTCTTTATAATGTTTCATTTTTAAAAGTTATTTTTCATTTTTGCTTAATGACTGGATTTAGGACTAACCTTAATATCCTAAGCTGGCTAAACCTTGTATGATGTTATTGGAATTATGGTTGAGAATACCCAGCTAATAAATCAGTCCAGTCTATTATAGGTTTTAGTCCTTAACTATATTAATATTTATTGCATTCTGTATTGATGTAGAATATTCCAAATTCCCAGGCAGTTTGTTATAGTGGATTATCTACATCAATATATATATGTTCTTTAGAATACTTTTAATTTTGATCTATGTAACTAGTGTGCTTTTGATCAGAGTTTCTTAATAATAAATAAATCAGCTTTATCATATATGGGTGTATCCCACTCTGGTGACACATAAATGGATTTCTTACTCTTTGATTTACTATGACATAATATTCAAAGAAACAGTTCTGAATTCTAATCAAGATCTGATGTCATTTTTCAGGGTCCAATGTTAGAATAGATACAACTTTGCTTGGGTTTGACCAGACAAGTTGGCAACGAGGGAGTCGAAGCTATATTTTTAAAGGAAACAGTAAGTTTCATGTTCAAGTAACATTTTAAATCATGCAGTGTAAATCACATACATAACTATAGTGTAACTTACTTTTTTGTTCAACAAACCACAAATGTGAAACATATTTAAACTATTCAGTATGTTTGGTAAACTACTTGTATACATATCCTTTAAAATGATGTAGTATTAAATACTTTTTAAAGTACAAGCTAAAGTTAACCTCAAGATATCTTGCACTTAAATTCTGTATAAATGTGTATTTTAAGTGTTTTTTGGAAATTTTTTATTTTCCTCTAAAATTATTTGATCACAAGATGTAAATCACATGTGAATAACTATTAGAATTATAAAGTTAAATCTTAAAGAATAAACATTTCAGTATTTGTAGTATCCCTATAATGCTTACTTTAAGTGTCTTGGTCTAAATTTTCATCTTAAAGTTACATGATTAATGATTTAAGGAACTGATGTACAATAGAAGGTAAATGATAGTTGAGTACATGAAGGGTTGCTCCTTATTGCAAGTCATAGAAATGTTAGCAGTTGTTGAAAAAGCTGTTGTCATGAAGCAGTACTTAATCAGATTTCTTTAAAACATTGTCTGCTAAAACTGACCTCTTGTAAAAATTTTCTTTGCTATTTATTTCTCTCTCACAGTTAAATTGAATGAAGAACTTCCTTTCTACTCTTTATATATCAGCATGTGTCCAAGTGCTTTTGTTTTCTTGACTTTCATGCTCATTAAGTTATTGTTTAGTTAATCATCACTCTAATCCTTTCTTAAAACACACAATTTGAAATAAAAAGCATGCAGTTTGTTGTAAAAGTTTCATTTAATGTGGTTTATTTATGATGACTAACACAAATTTTACTACTGCATGCAGCCTGCACACCCCCTACTGTCATAAGATGCAACCGGAGCTACATCTTCCAGCTGCATGGTAATAAGTGCTTGTGAAAGTGACTGCATCACTGAATCCTGTCTTTAATATTTAAAAGTTATTGTAGACTTTCGAAGCATCTATCTACCCATATTATGTAAAGCTCTTCTGAGTAAAAAAAACAACAACAAATATTTGGTTGGTTTTTAGTAAATAAAGCCATAAATGATTGAATGTTTTATTAGACTATAACTACTATGACCTTTTTTTTTTACACCAGGATTAGGCTTAACAGAAAGTATTTTGTAATATTGTATCAATAGGCTTAAAAAGTCATGCTCCTAGGCTTAAGCCTTGTAATATTGTTCTTTCTTAATATTGATTGTTTGAATGTTTTATGGTTACTCCAGTGGTTCACCCACCTCATAGCTGTATTACTCTTACTTTTTTTCTGATTAGGTGAATGTCTTACATTTAAGTTACTCCAATACTTCATCTGCATAGCTATTTATGTATGTTAAAACTTGAGTGCAGGTACTGTATCAATAGAAGTAATTTTTACTATTTTTAACAGGTAACACTGTTTTTATAGAATTATAATGTACCAATAGATGTAATATTGACTACTTGTAACAGGTAATGGTACTGTTATAGAATGATTCTGTACCATTAGTTGTAATATTTACTGTCTGTAACAGGTAACAATGCTGTTATAGAATAATACTGTACCAGTAGTTGTTACACTTACTATCTTTTAAGAGATAACAGTGCTGTTACAGAATGATAATGTACCAGTAGATGTGGCATTTACTATTTGTAACAGGTAGTAACATTTTTACAGAGTGTTACTGTATTGGTAGATGTAATATTTACTGTTTGTAACAGGTAACAGTGCTGTTATGATGGAAGTTGACCACGAACTTTCTCAGGTTTACATGGAAAACATGCGAGTCCTCCCAGTACAACTAGCAGACATGACAGGAATTATCCGTCCATCACCAGAGGCAATATCTGCACGTCTCACAACACCTATTGTGACAACATATGTTGATACTGAGAAAATTAACTTTGAAAGGTAGGTAAATATTTTTTGTTCTTAGTGGTTAAATAAATGATATTGTATCATCAGATGTAATTTCTACTGTCTGTAACAAGTAACAGTACTGTTATATAATGATATGGTATCAGTAGAGCTGATATAATTTCTACTATCTGTAACAAGTAACAGTACTGTTATATAATGATATGGTATCAGTAGAGCTGATATAATTTCTACTATCTGTAACAAGTAACAGTACTGTTATATAATGATATGGTATCAGTAGAGCTAATATTTGCCACTTGTATCTCTTGACAGTGCTGTTATATAATGATATTGTATCATCAGATGTAATTTCTACTATCTGTAACAAGTAACAGTACTGTTATATAATGATATGGTATCATCAGACTGTATAATTTCTACTATCTGTAACAAGTAACAGTACTGTTATATAATGATATGGTATCAGTAGAGCTAATATATTTTCTACTATCTGTAACAAGTAACAGTACTGTTATATAATGATA